TCTCTCTCTCTCTCTGTTTCAACCCGGAGGGTTAAGTGTTTAGGGTTCGGACACCCGCAATCCCTAAAGCCTACCCCTACCCCTGAAATCTTACAGCCGAAACCCAAAGTCCCTCGACCCTGAGACCCTAAACCCCTCAACCCGCGAAAACCCCCAAAATCCGAGGCCATCAAACCCTCAAAAACCGAAACAACCCTAAGCTCCCCTATACTAAAACCCTCAAAAACCTTAACAACCCTAAACTACTCTATACTAAAACCCTCAAATACCTGAACAACCCGGAACCCTAGAAGCCCTAAGCAACTGTGAACAAGCCTAAACACTAGACCGTTAGTTCGAAACCCTGAAACCCTAAAACTCCAGAACTAAAACCTAGACCACCCTAAACCCTAAAACCCAAAAGCCATAAAACCAAAATAAACAATACCAAAAGCTAAACCATCTCGAGGCTTCGGACCTAAACCGGCCCTGCAAGCGCCATCACCAGGAACCGCGCAGCTCAACCCTAAACCCTAAACCCTAAACCCTAAACCCTAAACCCTAAACCCTAAACCCTAAACCGTGGCCTAGCTTCGGCCCACGGCTCTCTGGCCTGGCAAAAAGGAAAAAGTCCACGGCTCACCGGTTAAATATAGAGGGCCTTAACAATTAGAATAGGGTTCTGGGGGCTCCTTTCTACTATAGCTATAGTACGGAACCCTCAACAAAACCCTATTCCAACGTTTTAGGCCCCTTCATGAGGGTTCAGGGCCCTAAACCCTAAACCCTAAACCCTAAATCCAATTTTTTAGGCCCCTTCATGAGGGGTCAGGGCTTAGGCTGCCCGTCACAGACAGCAAGACAGCAACCATCTCTTTGCGCCTGCGGCGGAGACTGGAAACTCGACTCAGTCTGGCCCACCCAGAGGCCCCATAGTAGTTCCTTTTGGGGGTTACCTTATAGGATTCTATATATGCACCCCAAAAAAGGAACTACTTTAGGGCCTATGGGCAGAGGGTATTCGAATGTATTGGATTGGAAGGGCTCGCAGTCGAACCCAACAAGAGCCACGCTGCTTGGCGAGTCTCCATATCGACAACTAACAAGATGCTGGCCGTTGCTTGTGAATGTCCGGGCAGGGGTGCTGGTTCACATCAACAACTCACACGACCTGAGAGGTAGCCCTAAACCCTAAACCCTAAACCCTAAACCCTAAACCTCTAATGCGGAACCGATGGTTGCGAACTGACGATCCTGCACCCGCCGCCCGTACTTGGGTCCAGGCCTTTTGTTCTGTACAGCGGGGTGCGGGGGAGTGCATACTCTTTAGGGTCTGAAGTTATTCGGTTTAGGGTTTAGGGTTTAGGGTTTAGGGGTTTAGGGGTTTAGGGTTTAGGGTTTAGGGCTTATTTCAAATCGAAGGATCTGGAATTCCCGTGTAGGTTCCTATAGGCTTCTCTACAGGAAGCGGACTTGGACTTGCTTGACGGTTTGGAGAGAAACAGAAAAAAGACACAAACGACACAATAAGAACAAGCCCAGTCGATAAGTGACGCCTCTGCATCTCTTCACACTGCGCACAGGCCTCAAAGCTGTACAAACTACTTCTCCTCTTACTCGGCGGCATTCTCCTTGATGCCCCAAACTGTATCGCTCTGGTCTACTACCTTGCCACTTCCCGCTGGATATGTCATCCTGGAAGTTTCTCGCGCCGTTCACGAGTGCGACCGGAAGGAGCGGAGCATCCTCCTTTCTTTGCTCCTCGACGTTCTCTGGTCTGTCTGGGAACTTTAAGATCAGCGCCAGCTGAAGGAGCGACAGGAGCATCCCGATGACGTTGGGAACCCATACCGGTATCTTCTGACGGCGAAGGCCCACAGCGAACCAGCAAAGGCTGTTCAGGAAACCCATGAAGATCTGCGGGCCGGGCAAGGTTTTCGAAGATTTTGTTTGAAGAACCTCTCGCAAGACCGAGAGGGGAGCCGCATACATGATGATAGACACTAGGATGCCCAGACTACCAACTCTCGCGGCGGCACCTTCACCTCCCAGCCCAGCATATGCGAAGATCAAGCCAGATAATGCGCAGACCGAAATGGTGCCAACGCAGGCCTGCGTGTTCCACCGCTTTGCATTCGCAGTCTCCAGGGCGAAATACCAGCATGTCGCGATGCTGAACAGCCCGACGGCCGCGCCGTAGGCATTGCATCGGATTAGTGGAGGTATTGGCATAAAGATCCCGTAGCCTAGCTGGGTCATGCAGTTCAGGAAGAAGCCCAAGAGATTCACCGGGTTGATGTGCTTCACTTTCGCCGGTGTTCTGATAACCTCAATCGCTTGAGTCAAGGGCGAAGTCATGAAGAAGAAAGCTAGGCAAGTTGCCAGGGACTCCAAGATGAGGTCTGCAAACATGGCGAGCGAAAGAAGGGGGCCAACAGAAGCGGAAGGAGCCGGGAGAAGACTCGAGCCGCGGCCAAGACACTCCAAGCATCTGACTATCTCTACTGTAGGGGCCTAGATAATTAGGGTTTAGGGTTTAGGGTTTAGTGTTTAGGGCCTATACTATTTAAGGGATTACTTATTATAATTATAATATCATGGGCCCCAAAACCCTATTCTAATTCTTAAGGCCCCTACATTGGCTCTCTCTCTCTGTCTCTTTCTCTCTCTTTCTCTCTCTACCTCTCAGCCGAAGGCACGCAAATGCATGTCCTACAGCGTGCATGCCCTTTGAGGCACCGAAGGATCTTCAAACTGCGCCGGGGAGACGCGAGCTAGCGAGGGCTGCACTGCGGGCCCGTCACGCAGTTAAACTTGCCTTGAAAACTGCGGAAGGAGCGCTTGGGACAAGTGCTTGAGGCGGGGCAGAGGTTGGGCAAAACCCTAAACGGACCCTAAACCCCGAACCCTAAACCCTAAACCCGGCCCTGAACCCTGTAAACCCCGAACCCCAAATCCTCAACCCTATAAACCCTAAACCCTAAACCCTAAACCCTGAACCATCAAGGCCCACCGCCCTGGCTAGACGGAAGCCCGGAAGCCCATGAGCCGAAGACGACTGCAAAACCCGAGACCTGCACTCAAGTGGGCTGTTGTGAAAATCCTTGGGGACCAAATGACCCTTATAAGCAGGGGCCCTATGCGCTTATATACTATGAATCCCTATATGGTATTATATGAACCTGAAAACCCTTGGGGACCAAACGACCCTTATAAGTAGGGGCCCTATGCCCTTATATTTATATACTATGAATCCCTATATGGTATTATATGAACCTGAACACCTTTTGGGGTTCATTTCGTCCTTGAGGACTAGGGAGCCCCTCTAAGTCCCAAGATATAGGGTGCCGAAGTACGAGCAGAATTAATAGGGTTTAGGGTTTAGGGTTTAGGGTTTAGGGTTTAGGGTTTAGGGTTTAGGGAATAACTAGAACCGGGTTGTGGGGTACAGTATACGAGAATTACAACAAGGAACCCCCCCGAGAGTAGTATGGATAATTATTTCGGCCTGCCATGACTTTTTCCCTAAACCCCTAAAACCCTAGACCCTAAACCCTAAACCCCTAAAACCCCTAAAACCCAAGACCCTAAACCCCTAAAACCCCTAAAACCCTAGACCCTAAACCCCTAAAACCCTAGACCCCAAACCCTAAACCCCTAAACCCCTAAACCCCTATAGACCCTAAACCCTAAACCCTAAACCCCTAAAACCCTAGACCCTAAACCCTAAACCCTAAACCCCTAAAACCCTAAACCCCTAAAACCCCTAAGACCCTAGACCCTAAACCCCTAAAGCCCAAGTGCTTCAGCTGAGAATCGGAGGCCTGCCTTTTTCGGCTGACACTGGAAGAACAGGTCCTGCCAGAGGGTTCGTTTGGGACTTTAGGCATTTGGGGTTCGGGTTTAGGGTTTGGGGTTCGGGTTTAGGGTTTAAGGGTTTTGGGGCCAGGGGGTCCCTTTGGGATTTTAGGCACTTGGGGTTCGGGTTTAGGGTTTGGGGGTTTTTGGGGTTTAGGGGGTCCCTTTGGGACTTTAGGCATTTGGGGGTTCGGGTTTAGGGTTTAGGGGTTTTGGGGTTTAGGGGCCAGAGGGCCCTTTGGGACTGTAGGCCTTTGGGTTTCGGAATACATCAGCAAGGGTGTATGGTATTCCGGGAAGAGGTTTCTGGAGGTGTTTGCAAGGCTGCAGTTTTCACCGATGCTTCTTCAGAGTCTTCGCTCGGCTGGCGAGCCTAGCGAACAAAAACACTGGACCACCGGACCCTGATGAGGCCTATTTGTAGCGCCTAAACCCTACACCTTTTGACCTACACCCTAAACCTTAAAGTCTAAGTCGAAATCCCGAAGCAGGGCCGGTATCCAAAGGATCGCAAATAGTCCTTCAAAGGGTACCCAAAGCCAGAGCCCGATAGCCCTGGAATACTAGGGGCATAGGGCATAAGTCTTAACTAGTTTAAGTTAGGGCAAAAGGGATCCTCAGAACTCAGGGGTATTGCGCACTTTGAGCACCTACCAACCTGGATTTAATTTGAGTAGTGCTGGTATCTTGTGTGTGCCGGGGGGGGGGGGCTAAAGCGAGGAATCAGCACGTGATGCAGAAATGCAGTCAGAGACCTCTTCGACTCTGTATATGCAATGCCCCATCAGAACAAGCACCTCAAGCAAACTCTCTAATGCCCAATTCCTTGGGGACAAGTAGGGGCCCTATATTATACCCTTATACTCTGAATCCATAAAGGGCATATGAACCTGAAAACCTGTTGGGGTTCATTTCGTCCTTAAGGCCTCAAGGTTCCCAACACAACATTGCGAGAGGCTGCCTTGCCGGTGACAACGCTCTCTTGCTTCTGGTACTTCTCCGTGCATTTCCCTTCCTGAGGTCGGTGAGGGTGCTCTTAACCCAAGTCTAATTATTAAGGCCCCTGCATTAAGCCTGAAAAAAAGCGCCATTGAAGCTGGAACCCAGAGACTCCAATATCCCTTAATTAAGGAATATACCTTAAATCATATTGAGGATCCTACTATAATTTAAGGACTCTTCCTTAATTAAGGACTTTTGGAGTCTCTGTGAACCCGGAAGCTGCCGGCAAAGAAGCCCAAACCCTGAACCCTGAACCCTAAGCCGTGGACCCTAAACCCTAAACCCTAAACCCCTAAGCCGTGGACCCTAAACCCTAAACCCTAAACCCCTAAACCCTAAACCCTGAACCCCTAAGCCCCTAAACCCCCAAACCCTAAACCCTAAACCCTACACCCTAATCTGAACCCTAAACCCTAAACCCTGAACCCTGGACCCTAAACCCTAAACCCTAAGCAGCAAAGCAGCATCCTGGTTCTCCGCGCCACTGAAGTGATCACATCGCCAGGCATCGTTCTGCGTGACTTTGAGGATCTCCTCAGCTGTGAGGGGCTCTCTGCCAGCCGACGTCGAGACGGTTTAGGGTTTTAAAGTTTAGGGTTTAGGGTTTTAGGGTTTCATTTTTAGGGGTTTAGGGGTTTAGGGTTTAAAGTTTAGGGTTTTAGGGCTTAAAGTTTAGGGTTTAGGGTTTTAGGGTGGTTTTAGGGTTGAGGGTGCGTGGATTCTCGATGTTTGAATAATATGGGAGTTTCCGAAATAGGGGGTACCTTATTTTAAGGTCCTTATAATAAGGATCCTACTATTTAGGGTGATATATTTGGGTCCCCTATTTTCGGAAACCCCCATATTGCGCCATAGTCATAGTCGTTCAGGACGGAACGCACGTTGGAGTTAGGGTCCAGTGAATCATGCTTCCGGGGCTCATTGACTCATAAAACTGTTAAGGTTTAGGGTTTAGGGTTTAGGGTTTAGGGTTAAGTCACAGCTGGCCTGAACCGTACTGCACGGTTTGCATTGGCATGCCTGTTGGGCTGAGCACTACTCGGCCATAGAAGCCCATGCAAGGAATCAGAAGAAGGTAGAAAAACTGCTGCCTAACCCACGCGCGCCTGCTGGCAAAACCGGAGATGGAGCAGGAAGGAGAACGTCGGCGCCAAGAGCAGCATTGTGCACTTCGTGCGGTTTAGATAGCTCCAAGTCTGTATCTCAGGATGCTTCAGTCAGACCTACACCCTCCTCCACTCCGAAACCTCCCCAAAGCCAGAAACCCCGTGCTTTCTGACAGAGCTCTGTCCCACTGCAAGTTGGCAGTGCTCCTGTCAACAGCTTGCTGCTTTACTGGGCCGAGGGGCTTTTTCGGAGGAGCTCACTGAAAACAACCCACAACTCTTCGAACAGGGCTTGAGGTAGCTCTACCGAAATTTAAAAAGGTTCATGGGACTTAGTAACTGAGGATATAAACAAGGTAACTATACTTATATCCCCAATTAGGGTACTTCTGGCCCTACTTACTAAGTCCCAAGATCCTCCAAGTAAGCAGGTATTGCCGTATTGCGGTCAGGCGGCTTCGCGGTAGGATCACAGGATACCGGCTTCAGCCACGTTAAGATTGTAACGAGGTGTTTCTGAACGTTCAATGACTTCGGGCGGCGGGCGTTCAATGGTTGAGGATCTCGGTTGAACGCCCGGAGGGTCTTTAATCCCTCAACTCAACCTTGAAGACACGACTTCCGGACCACATTTTGAGGTTGTCGGCTTTCCCCTGAACCCTAAACCCTCATAAACCGTGTTTATCGGAGTTTCGGTCTAGGGGGCGGGCGGCATGGCGTACCCTCAATTCTCAACCCATGCAGCGAAAGCACAACGTTCAAAAACTGAAACCCTCTGCTGTGGAGCAAAGTCCGCGATTCGCATTCTCTCCTCCGGAAGCGGTAGAATTCACCAGGACTTTCGTGGCAAATGCAGACGAACTCAGCGCCACCACGGCGAGTAGCAGCCTTAGTAGCCAGTAGTGACTCCGAGGTGAAGCTACAGAGACTTAGCCAAGTTCCGATGATCTTTCACCTGCGGTAAGGTCACCAGACACCCCTCAGATAGGGTTTAGGGGTTTGGGTTTAGGGGGGCGTGGCATTTCGTGATTTCAGGTTTGTGGTTCACGGAGGTGGGAGGAGAGGTCCAAAGGCCTGCCTCCGGCTCTTCAAAAATCGTCCTTCTGATATACGGATCCTACTACTGTACTTAAAATTCTATATGGGTCCCGCATTTTGCTGAAGCTCGCATCTCAAGCCTAGACAGCCTAGACCCTAAAACCACACGCAGAGAGAATCACACCCTCTGTGCAGCAAAAGCCACCGATAAACATCATGCCTCGAACTGCAGCCCCCAAACCTGAACACAATTCTCACGTCACCTCAAGTGACCAAAGCCAAAATTGAGCAGCAAACCCCAAACCGTCGGTGGTCTTCCCTTCTCAGACGAATACAATGCCAACTACGGGGCTAAAAGTGACGCCGGCTCACTGCGCTATGGGAATTGATGTGGTGGATCCTAAACCC